GCTGAATGGCCAGTTTTCCTTTATTTTGCTTAGGGGCACACTGTGCTTGTGTTCTCTGGTGTCCCCACTGTGAGCATTGCCAAAATAACTAATGGTGAGAGAAGGCGTGTGTGTCAAAATGGATGTCTTTGAGACCTCTGAAAAATTTTCTTCTGAGAGATCCTGTACCTGAGGAAGCATCAAAGAGCCAGTCTTTTTGGTATTTCTGGATCTCTTCTGAATGACAAGGGGCAAACTCTTTATGCTGTGCCAGCTGTTTTATGCCCGTTTGCTCCCCGCAGCCGTTCAGCAGTAAGAGCACAAAGTCTGCCTGGAGGCTGTTACATTCTCTACAGCTAATGACAAGCCATGGTTTCAGCAGCCTGTGTAAAACATTGCAAGGAGTTCAACCCACCCCCTGTATGAAATATTAGAGTGAAGAAGGCTTTTGGACGCTCTCTCGCTAAACCAATTGCTATGCCCAAGAATTAATAAAATCCATATTGAAGTGACAGCTGGTGGACAGAGCTGGCTTCTTCCTGCATCACTTGGCTCTCTAGTGGCTCATGTTCTGGGTTCAATGCACATTTATCCTTTTATTATGGCATTTATTGATTTTTATTTATTTATGTATTAAATCTCTGTTTCCTAAAGAATCGTAATTGCACTGTTCAAAATCTAAGTTTCATCATATCAGCACTAGCTATTAACATACTTCTTCCCTTTTTCTCTTTAATGACTGACCTTCCAAAGGCATTCAGTGAATGAAATAAAAATGCAGACAAGTGAGAATATATTTTCTCATCGTGAACCGGTTTCTGTACTGCTTTGACTATTTCCTCTCTTGTCAGTATATGTGAGTTCTTTTCCTTAATCCATGATTTCTTTCATTTTCCTCACCTCCTAATTTATATGTATATTTCTCAAGCTGACAGAAACTTCAGACTGACTCAGTAGAACAGCGGAAAGTGAGTGTCACAAAGGTAGGGATTCAAATGAACTTTAGAGCAGAAATTCGTTTGCTTATTTATTTATGTTGGTTTTATATGGTAAGTGGCAAGAAGAGATAAAGACCATTCTTTTCAAAGGAGAAAATGTTAACTGTTGTTTTCTAAGGAAGTGGGGTTCAATCATTGTCTCTGTCAGTCTAGTAAATGATTTCTGTTTTGAGACACGGAGAAAAGACAGACCAAGTCTGCCTTTGTTTTCTGGAACTGTGTAACCTGGGTCATCCAGGTAATTATAGCTTTACTTAAGAAACAGAGAATGTGGGAGAAAAACTCTGCTACTGCTTGTAAGCACAAAGAAAAGACACTTGAGAGAATTAAATTTCATTATGATTTGTATAGGGCTTATGAATCATTTTGCATTCCACCTCTAAAGCAGAAAATGATGACTTTAATATCATATTGTAGGACGACACTGGTAAGTCTCTCAGAAGGCAGCTATGGCATCCAGAGATATTGGAGCCTGGTTATTCATTACCTTCTGCTTAAAAGCCGGAGCAAATGCCACTATGAGACTTTGACACCTCCCTATTCATTCCCATTCCTACTTGTAGGTGGTACTGCAATAGAAACCCTAATGGGGGTGGGTTCTGCTGTGTACATACTGACAGATACCCCTGGAGTATAACAGCAGATAGCACTGGGTTAAGTGTGTTTGTATGCGCGCCTGTAAATGCACACGTACATTTATTTACTTCATTCTCCCATTAAAGTTCTCCCTATCTCAAAGACAAACAATTTCAGAAGGTCATCCCTCTGCTGACTGTCCTGAAGTTGCCATCAGTACGTGACATTATATATTTAATAAAATGTTAATTCTGTGATCCTACCTAAATTGCAGGAGATCAGTAATTATGTCAAAATCTTCCAGAGAACCTCAACTGAAATATGAAATTTATTTCCCAGCTTAAATTTGCAGAATGGCAGTGGGTGAAACAGTTTCTACACGTAAAGTGCCTATGAATATGTATGACTGTAAAGAGAGAGAAGAAATACCATTATTGTTCAGGAACATATCATAATTCTTGAGAAGCTTGTGTGCAAACAAATTGTCTGCTACTTGGTTTACTAGTTGAGGCACAAGGTAGCAAACTTCTAATGTGCCAGTGACTGGACTGTTATTGTCCATTTTAAGGCCACAATATCTTTGTGTCTGAGAATAAAGGGATTTTTTTTTTTTTCCATTAGGAACTCACGTGTTATATTAATAATGCACTGGATTATTTTGTTTTGTAATGGAGAATGCTCAACATGTTTTCCTTTGATAAAGTAATGAATGTGAGGAGAAGAAATGTGAAACACTGAAATACTGTTCTGCTTGCACACAGCAGTGTCTGGAAGTGTTACATCTAACTCGAAATTACTCTAGCAATGTTTAAAAACTTTCTGAATAGGATGGACAATTGCAAATTTGGACTATATTTAGTGTGCAGGAAGATGTGAAATAGAGTGGTTTATAGGTTCTGTAGGAGGGTAAGGAACAAAGACCAGAAAAACAATTAAATAGTTATTGTGAACCGACTTAAGAAATTACTTTTTAAATACTTAGAAATTAATGACTGGATAAATGTTTTTAAACACCTGTCTGGGTGATGAGCTATCTGTGGAATGTCATGGTTTCCAAATAAGAGACCTGGAAGCTTAATCTTTAGGTGAGGGTGATATGTGTGAAGGACGCTGTTCCCTCACAAACAACCATTGTAACCAGATTATTTGAAAATGGTTTTGATGAACATAAAAGATCTTCAAAGAAATTTCACCACACCAGGTGACTTTCTAATATTCTCTGTGGCACTTTTATCAACAATTATTTTTTTTTGAGTGAGGGTCCTGGAAGAGTTTAGAAAATAATACTCCAGTGATACTGTGTTAGACTGGATAACCTGATAATTGCATACTAAACTGAGGCTCAGGTCACCCATGTTCTGCAGGTGAAATTCTTGCTGGATAGCCTATAGAAAGTTATTTTAGTTACCTGTGCTTCTGTATCTCTGCATCTCACCTTCTTTTAGAAACAGCTTGAAAACTGTAGATGAACTAAGTATACTATGACACACCAAAAATCATACAGTTTATACCAGCACTTTTATTTGTCCTAAGACACAAATTGTTCTAGTCTATTGTTAAATATCTCACTGTGCTTCTTGATTACTTTTTGTTAGTAACTATGTTCCTATAAAGAATTCTGCCTTGTTCTAAAATAAGTATGACTTAGGTCACTGACTTCTGTGTGAAGGACATTCATGCTTTACAAATACCCAGTTTAACTAGATTATCTGCTCACTTCATCAAATCACTGTTTTGAGACTCCACAGCATGTTCTGTTTTATGGTGATATGCCAGTGTGCATCTGATCTCATCAAATTCTGTTTGTGATGGGGAAATTATCTCATGAAAATAGTATTACTTAATCTTGGTTTTAATTTCTGTATGCTTGGAGAGGAAGAAAATTCTATGTGGTGTTTCATCCTGTCAATGCTAATCTTTCTCCTCAGTGCTGTATCTCCAAATAGCAGATGTGTGCTTTATTGCAGTGTTGGTCCTCTATAGCACAGCATAAAGTTTTGGCAGGAGCAAACAATTTATTGTATTAGAGTCAAACACAATCAAATGTTCCTTTTCCTATGAAGCATGGTCAGATATTGATATTGCATTAGCTAACATTTTAACATAGCAGAGGCTTAATAAGATACATTATTACTCTCTCTAGGCTGTTTAATTAAGCTAAACAGTCGCTGTGTATTGTACATTGGTTTTCTGCCAAGGGAAAGTAAATCTGTATTATATTAGTTTCACATACCAAATTATATTCTCCCCCCATCAGAGACTCTTTAGAAGAGCTGACACTGCTGTCACATGAACTGCACAATACAAACTGCCTTCCTATGTCATGGGACTGTCCTTGTAGCTCAGTATTCTCCAGTAGCCTGAGCAAGTTGTGTGTGCAGGGAAGACTTGTGTCTGCAGAGCTACATGTTGTATTCCATTGGCCAGGGTCCCTGTTGGCTGCTAGGGAGTACAGGGATAAGCATCATAACGCCTGTCCTGCCAAAAGAACTCTTCTCCATCCCTCTGTTGAGGCAGAAAGATCTGAACTCTGGTCACCAGGATGGCTCTTACTGGCCCTGTGGTGGCCAGGTGGCAGAAGTGAGTTTGTCACTGTCACATCACATTACTTCTTCAGGTCCAGAAGTTTCAAGAGTTTGGGGAAACTGGGTAATCCAGTGGCGTCTGCTCTGGTATTGCTCTTTAGTGCTGGGCATTGCTATCTCTGCTGCCAATGGCACTTGATCACATCACAGTGATCAAGGTGAACATTCACTGCTTCCCACTGAGGACATGGGAAGGGTATGGGCAGAGCAGGCACTTCTGTGCCAGGGGGTCCTACTGTTTTCTTTTAAAGCGAAAGCTGATGCAGAATCACAAAGAGAGCTGCAAGCAGAGAGGCATTCAAGGCACTTGCTTTTGGGAGTTGCTCTGTTGAATTACTACTACAAAGCAGAGTAAGACAAAACATTTGCAGTTATTTCTCCTTACAAGCAAAAATAAATTGCGCAGGAAATACTGAAGTCTTTTTTACACAATTTTGAGCCTGTTTTACCTGGCAGAAGTGAACATCTGCATATTGCAATGCAGAGCTGTGCAGAGAGGGCAAAGCTGTGCCCAAATAATCGTGCTGTAGAACTGGAAGGTGCACATTTTTATCAGTGGCAGTAATCCCTGTATCACAGTGAAGGATGATGCTTTGGCTCTGTTTTGCATAGTGTCATGTGCACAATGTCCCAATATTTTCAAGAACAGTGAAGAAATGTCTGTCATGGTCCTGTGTTGTGTTTCACATGCCCCCACAGAGAGGCATGAATGGTTGGATGCATCACAGCAGTGTCTTTAGCATGGCTCTGGCACCATGGTTAGATTCAAGAATGGCTGTACTGGATTTATGGGAGGCTTCATAACACAGTTATGATTTATCTCATGCTGAATGTTTTGTTGTTGTTTTGTTTCCCTCAACAGAAGATTAACCTGGAGTTCTATATTGACATCCATGCCCACTCCACCATGATGAATGGCTTCATGTATGGGAACATCTTTGAAGATGAGGAAAGATTTCAGCGACAGGCTGTTTTTCCCAAGCTACTCTGTCAGAATGCTGAAGACTTCTCTTATGTAAGCAATGTTTTTCTTAACTATATTTTCTTAACGTTTTTTCTTTTCATGATAAATCTCTGGCTTTACTGGATTGAGTAAATTTTATTTCAGTATTAACAGAAGGCTACTTAAAAATGTTGTTATTATTAGCTACCACTTTTCCTCTTATACTTACCTTATCCAGAAGTGGTAAGTTGTGATCTTGTGTATGCCATCAGACACATGAACAAAAGCAGGTTCTTCATCTTCCATATTATAACCTTAGGTTCTGAATTATTGGAGCACTTTGTTTTTGTCAGATCTTTTGTCTTTTATCAACTGGATCAGCTTTATTGTTCCATTGCTTTTTATTATTTTGTCAGTTATTTTGCTTTTACACTCTAAATAATAATTTAATAACAAATAGAAAGAAAAATAACTAGCTTGAAAGAAAAGGTTAGGTAATCTTCTGTTAAAAGTTGTGGCAAAGGCAATGTATGCTTTTGAAATTCTTTGATATTACCATGGAAAACTGTTCTGGAAATAAATGGTGAGCTCTTCTAAATGAGTTGAAAAGGGGCATGTTTTTTGAACATATTTCAAATAGAGTAGAAGAGCTCCTTAGCACACAGTCGTTGCAGTTGCTGTGCAGAAATCAGTAGATTTAAGACTGGTCCAGTGTGTCCAAGTATGACATCCTGGCCCTTTCCATGGGCTCTTTTGTGCACCAGTTTTCCCTGAAAGCTGTGCAAGTAGAGCACACAATGCCCGAGACTTCCTGCAACAGCTTGATTGCTTCTCCTGGCACATCTGTGGAGCTCCCAGCAAAACTGCTTCTACACAGCTCTCCCTTGCTCAGTCTCTGACATCCCCTTTTTGCTTATACTTCATCCTCCTGTTACTGAGAAGTGAATCTGTGTCTCCTGTCAGGGTCTGGGACAGCTGGGTCATGGTGCCTGCCTCTGCTGCAGTGCCACCCCAGCCAGCTTGTGGCAGAGGTGGTGGTGAGGGAGGATAGGGACCCTGCACCATTCCAGGTGTTTAGCTCTAGAGAAACAAAATTTAAAACAAATATAAAAGCAGACAAGTTTGCAAGCAAAACAAAATGTAATTGAAAGAAAAGGCTGTTTTCATCATGGCAAGAACGCTGGCCTAAAGCTTTTTCATCAGTATGCAGGAGATAATTTTTTTTGTCTTCTGTTTGTGCATCTTGCACTGTGGAGTTTGGATGGGAATTGAATGTAGAAATAGAGCTCTGCCATTGTTTTCTTGACAGATGTGATCCAGCAAAATGAAGGAAGGACCTTAAACCTCCCAATTCCCATTCATTTCTCTATTCCATGGTAGTTTGTTTTACACAAGAGTGGGAAAAAGATTGGATCAGTCTCTGACTTCTCTAAGGCTAGGCAGAAGATATCCTTTCCTCTGTCTTTTCTGCTCTGAGGAAGAGGGGCCTCTAGTAGACCAAACATTTCCCTTTTCTCCTTGGCATCAGCAACGGCAGCTGTCTGGGTAATGCATGGGAGGGTGTGTGGCTTCTGTTGCTTCCTCTATTGTCTCAAAGTATTGTTTAACCATTGTCAGATTTGTTTAACAATCGTCTGTATGTTTTGGGGGTTCAGGGGACTGCTGCATTGTGAAGCTTTCTGCAGTCAACCATTGCAAGGGTTTCTCAGAGAACTGTCCAGAGTGCAGAAGACCAAATCTAAATGAGGAGGGACAGCAGCTGTATCTATTCCCAGCTGTTTGGAATCTGGGGAAGAGGGAGTGGGGTCCAAGAATCAGCCTTTTCTTATCCAAGGAGACCTCAGTGATTGAGTTTCTTATCTGCATCTGATTGTTTCAAAAACACATAAGGGGCATTCACAGATCATAGCAATGAAAACCTGCAATTGATAGGAGTTGAGAAATTTTGTGCTCAAGTGTGGGGATTCCTCTCTGCTACTGTGGGAGATTAAGTGTTCCTCTTAGCACAAGCCTTGGTTGACAAAGGGAAAATCTTTGAGAAAATGATGTAGGGAAATGGAAGCCAATAGCTAAATAAACAGCACAGTCTCTCCCCTTTGACTTTCAATCTCCTTCCTATAGGAGCTGGCAGTCAGATATATATGTTGGCATCCAGTGCACCAGAGTTCAACCTCAGTGCTACTGGCACTCAGTACCATTGTCTTCCAGCTAACATCCTACTGGTCTCTTCAGGCTGGAAGCTTTTCCCCACCATCCATCCAGGCTATTCTTCCCAGGGCAGCTGAGTGGATTTAAGTATTGGAAAAGGAGACAGCCACCAGCTGTCTGATGTGTGAAGTGACTACTCCTGCTGTCTCCAAGTAGGAAAGTCTGTTTTCTTCTTTTCAGCTCTAACCATGTGGGCTATGTGACCAGTTGGAAATATCAGGTGAAGAGAGGAAAGGAATCCAGAACTTCCTGCATTTAAATTGAGGGGAGGGGGGAAATACACTTATAATAGTGTATGTAAATATGCCCTATTGCCTGCTCAAAGGGAAGGGGGGGAAGTGCATCGTTAACGTTACCAGGCTGGTGTTTGAAAGTGTGGGAATGGACCACTGTTGTTACTAATTAATTTTCCAAAGCTTCAGGAGGTCTCATTTACATTGTATGCTGCTGCGGCCATTTGTTGGGATTATAATACTTCAACAGCAGCACTTCAAGTGAAAACTGGCGGCTGCATGAAGTGTTGTCCATAATTGACTAGCTCCATGTCTTCACACAGCACAGAGACAATGTTCCATTATGCTATCCATTGACAGTATCATTGAAAAGATTACTCTCCTTAAAGCATCTGTCAACCTTGATTGATTTACAAGGGACAAAGAACTGAAAAGGTTTGAAGTGCGGGTACAATTTTTGCCACCGTTTAGCATACATAATGGTTCTCCTTTGATGTCAAAAGCTCATCTTCTATTAATAATGCAGAGGGCTTTTGAATGCGGGCTACTTGTATGGAGTTCCACACTAATAACCTACTTGCTGTGAAATGGGATTCACTTTGGAGAAGCAGTCATTTGGGTTTTACATGTTCGGAATGAATCCCAACTCAAAGGGATTTATTTCAGTGCTCTGCATGATTGCAGCTGAGCCCGGCACGGGTTAGGGAAAGCAGGCAAATCCTAGCCTGCTCCTCCAGCCGAGAATCTGGCAGAAATCACGCAGCCAGATGCAAAGGAGCATGAACAACAAGCCTAAGATGATGCGATCAAATGCCTTGTGCCGTTTTGTCTGGCAACCTTCTATTAATATACTTTAGAGTGCATTTCATGCCTGGGCTGCTTCCTTCACCTGTCATTTCCAATAGGCCTTTTTATGTAAATGACAGCATCTAAGGGAGATTGGTGATTAGAGTAGGGGATGGATAGGGGATTTGTACCCACATGGCTGTTGTAGGACCAAATCAGAGTCACCCACTGTCTCTGGACTCTACCTGTTGGGCAAAACACTTGACCTCACAGCACTCTGGAAGGCTGACTGTGGTTTACAGGCATAAGCTGTGAAAGGGACCAGAAATTCCTCATTCGTACATGACTTCAGACACAAAGGCCTGCCTTTGGTTTAGATATGAGCATGTGAAGAGGAAAGTGAAAGAAAGGCTAGGAAGTTTTGCTCCCAGATAAATAAATGAGACATTCTTGGGCAGCTGCCTGGGCAAAGGGGACAAAATCTGTAAGGAAAACATTTTATATTTTCAATGTTTAAGAAGGATATTTTTAAACACTGGGGAGTAAATATAATCTGTATGAAAGCTCTAACAGTGAGAGCTGACAAGCTCTTTTGAAAGGCTGACTCATTGGGTTTTAGGAGCAGCTGTTGACACCATGTCTGAGTGCATTACACATCAGCCATGGCTAGGAGTAGTTGCAGTATTTGGAGGGGTGTTCTTCATTTGACCTTTCTTGTTCTGGAGAGTGGATTAGTCATAACGACCAGACACAAGCACTTGAGCATTTCAAGAACCTGCTAGTCTTAGGGGTGGCTAATTTTGACCTCTGTGACAGTATGAGAGGAGACCATCTGTTCTCTCTGGTTCATTTAAAAGAAACAACCGCAGCCATTCTTGAATGGCTTTATCACTTCATAAAGATTGCTTTTCTTTGCAGCTAAAGGAAAAAGGCTTGGCCTGATCTTATTAGTTTTTTTTTTTTCTTTGGACTCTGAACTGGTGGCACTTGGGATACCTTCGAGTTCTCATTTAATTTTCTTGTATTCGATCTCCCAGCAGAGCACCTTCCTTAGAAATACCGTTTGTCCTTTGTGTGCCATGGTTAGCCAAAGATCCTGATAAAAACTTGGGGTCTCATTATGTTGGGCATTGGGTAACAACTGAGGAAGTCCACAACCCCAAGAACTTCCAGCCGTGCTGGGAAAGAGATAAAGAGTTGCTGGGAAGTTATTTGCTCGGAGAAACTGGAGAATAAAATTTGAATCTCCCAAGTGCCAGTCTGGTTTCTTTGTCAGCACTTCCCTATGTTTTGTACCGTGCTCACACTCAACAGTGAAGTCTCTGGACAACAACCCACCCAGTTTCCTTTAGGGAAACATGTTGTTAACCCCCGTGCCATAATGCTTTTAACTAAAACATATTTTGGAGCGTATCATTGTCTCAGCAATATGAGAAAATTCAGATATGGAATTATTTGCACTACTACTTTTTGTTGTGGTTTTTTGTTCGATTGGTTTGTTTTGGCTTTTTTGGTCTGGATATTAAACACTGAGCAACAAAAAAAAAATATTTTAATCTCTCTATATATTTTACCTATTGCCTTTGACCCACACATTCTGGGTCTGTTGTTTTCATTTCAACACCACCCCCTTCATCCAAGCTCTCTTAGAGAAGACGTGTTCATTCCAGAAAGCTTCCTCCCGCAGCAGCCTCGCTGGGCTCTTGTGATTTACCCTCTTGTGACATCTCCCTCTTAGTCTTGGGATCCCTTTGATTAATCCCAGTGTGTTTTGGGCCATGTGTGAAGGAAGTGCTGGCACAAATGCTTGAGAGAGTAATATCAACTCCTGAACACTAAATGACC